TTTGATACACTAAAAGATCCCTGAATTCGGATAATTTGCTTCCCCGTGCCTTTCCAAATATACGTTGTGAGTGCTGGTAACGATACCTTCTCTGTTTTGATTTGGGGGAAATAGATGAAGTACGGCTGCTTCTGGTTTGTTCCCTCGCATCTCTGCCACTCGTAGAATCCATCTGCTAGGACGACACAGCGCCGCCCCTTTCCCAGGGGCACCTGAGGGAAAAGGCGCACAAGATACGGTCTTAGGGATCCAGTCACGTTCCACGGGCGGCCACCATATGGAACTCGAGTTACAGTCTCGCACTCTTACGTGTGCTCTTAGAACAGATCGTTTGAAATCTGCACGTCCGTTTTCTTCCGTACAAAGTCACCGCCCACACAGACGCGGAAAAGATTAAATGACGTGCATGCGAGCAACCGGCTCTTTTCTAGAAAGTACTTACGGCGTCGAGTCTGCAAAGTTGCCTCCCCAGGCCTCACACCCTACGCAGCCCCCCTCCCACCCTGAACGTGGGCTCGCTCTGTATAGCCAGTCGCAGCGGAAGTCACGCTGTCTGACTGCAGAGGCTGGGTCTCAAAGCCTGGAAGCTTCTGTCCTGCTCTGTTGCATCGTGAGCTCTGGGGTAAGTAAGTCTCCATGACAGAAACCTGACGACCCTGACACCTCCCTCCTAAGCTCCGCACGGGGAAAGGCTTCCAGCTGTTTCCGCCATCCCCAGCTGAGGTGTCAGATGTGGGTGGAGAAGCCGTCTGGGACGTCCAGCCAGCTGCCGTCTGATTACAACTCCAAAAGAGTAAGTGAAAACTGCCCAGCTGAGCCCAGACAACCCAGAGAATGTCAGTGTTTTGTTCAAAGCCACTGAGTTTTAGTGTGGTGTTATATAGTACCAGAACAGCACTCCACATTAACAACTGGGAATACTCTTCTGGAACCTTCTTTTATGTCTCAGGTACGCAAGGCACAAATAGCTCTGTTCGCAAAAAGAACAGAGTCTGCACCTTTTCCCTAGAGCCGCTACCTACCTTGAACGACTGTTTCTCCATAATGGTATCGCTGCGACAGTTGGTGGTGTTGAACTGCAGCTTGGAAGGGTCATCTTCTTTGAACCAAGACGGGACCAAGCCCCATCGCATGGGAGCAATGATACGCTCGGATGAGTCTGCATCCTGCCACAGGAAAAAGGTTAAGATCTGGTGAGGAGATCGTGATGAAACTGAGAAAATTAGCGCGTGAATTGTGTTATTATTAATGGTACTGTAGGACTGCAAACTACTGCAAGCGCTGTGGAAAGCAATATGGAGATCCCTCAAAGAGCTACAAGTAGAATTACCATTCAGTTCCAGCAATCCCATTACTGGGCATCTGCCCGAAAGAACAAATGACACTCTATAAAAAAGACATCTGCACTCGAATGTTTATAGCGGCACAATTCACAAATGCAAAGATGTGGAAACAACCCAAGTGTCCATCAATACATGAGTGGATTAATAAAATGTGGTCTATGTATACCATGGAGTACTATTGAGCTGTAAGAAACAATGGTGATCCAGCACCTCTTGTATTCTCCTGGAAAGAGCTGGAACCCATTCTGCTAAGGGAAGTATCCCAAGAATGGAAAAACAAGCACCACACGTGCTCACCAGCAAATTGGCGTTAACTGATCGACACTAAG